CTAGCACAGATAAAACTCTTAATGAATTTGATCAAGGTGATTATAAGACTTCTCAACTCATTGAACCCTAGAGGATTGCCTCCTCATGAGCTGGTATTAAAAGAAAACTGTCCTGTAATTCTCCTTAGAAACTTGAATCCCACCAAAGGCTTGTGCAATGGAATAAGACTTATAGTTAGAAAATTACATGGATATGCAATTTGTGCAGAAATTGCAGTAGGATAGCATCAAGAAAAGATAGTTTTGCTGCCTAAGATACCTCTCTAGACATTTGATAATTTTCTATCTGAACAAGTATCAAGGTTTAGAGATTTTCTATCCTGGTTACATTATACCAGATCATGTTGTATCCATGGCACTTTGCATTTTCCATTTGATCACACATCTGGTTTATGCTGATTCTATTCCAACACAATACACTCCATTTGCTGTATCTATGTTCTTAACAGAACAAAAGTTCTGGTTAGAAAAATGCTTCCAAAGCACTGCATATTTAATGTTTAGTAAGTTGCTGCTGTTATTTAGCGATTCAAGCTTTGATAATGGATGTTTAGCCATAAAAATGATATTAAGCAACTGGCTCCACTTATCAAGATTTGATAATGAATGTACTTCGGCTACCTCCGTTTGATGTTCAGCTTTGATAATAGATGTTCCAACGGAATGTACTTATTAAGCTTTGATGTTTAGCAATAAAATTGATGCTAACTTTGGTTACTTCGATTACAAAAAAAGACATGGATGATATAACTTTTTAAGCCATCTTGAATTATCATTATATCCTATCTGGAACTGTTCCATTACACATTTAGCCCAAGTCTTGGCTATAATTTGCTTGCTATTTGGCTACTGAGGATATTGGCCTGAATAGTGATAGGGTGCGATTTTATTATTTATTTTATTATTAATTTCTCCTATTACCTGACTCAATGTGGATTAATTGCTGGATTCTACTCACTTTTAGTACTTGGCATTTATTTCAGGGAGTAGAACGAAAATATAATAACAAGTGCTAATTTGGCATGAAAAGAGTCCAAATGATAGAGCTTGTCCTAGGGGTATTTTTGGAACAACAAAACGTGAGCCCTTGCTGGGCAAATTGGGCCGAAGTCTTCTTTTCGGCAGTGAGCCGCCGCACATCAAAAGGGAAGCAAGGGATAAAAACCAAAGAGATTGCAGAGGACAAGGGGGCTATCTTGCTTCCTTAGTTTTTCGTCTTTAGCTTAGCCTTACTTTTTCACTTTTTTCTTCTTCACTGGTGGTAGTTATTCTCCACGGATGTGAGGAGAAACAATAGAGAGTAGCTTTGACTTTTCCTTTCGTCTTTTGTGGTTGCCACTGCGCATGCCAGGAGCTTTTCACCAATTAGACGAATTGAGTTCTTCCTAGTTTTGAAGTACAATGGCCGCAGTTATTCCTTCCATTTTGCATGGATTTTGTTCATCAATTATGAACTAATTTCCTCACTCTAGTCAAGGGACAACGGATGCTTTGGGTCGCCTAAAATTGTGAGAACGATTTAATTTAATTTTTTCCTTTTATTCATTGGTATTCGCATATTCCTGGATTGCTATGCTTATGGTTATTTAATTAATTGATTGTCTTGGATCCGGATAATTAATTGATTTGGTAACCTATTGTCAATTAGGGTATAAAATCCGTAATTGTTTAATTGTCCTGAAATAGTGACAACTGGCACGATTAGATTCGTGTCAGGGGGATATGCGGGCTAATCTGAAATAACCCTGGTAGTGCGTTATTTGCTTAGAATATGGCTCCTCTAATACGTAAGACAATTGGGAAATTAAATCTTACGGGCGTATCTAGGATTATTTCCTAATTAGAGCAGTGATTAACGGGAGTACCTTAATCACCGACACAGTAAGGAGGGGTTGATTGACATCGCTTGTTTGGTAGTTATAACATATTTATTGATAAATAATTGGAATTGCCTTTGCTTCGATGATCAATTAGGTGAACCATTGCTGAAGTTATTTCTTGGCTAGATCGTTAATTAATATTATCTTGATTTTAGTGAATTGCCGTTTGATTTTTAGTTGCCCATGTTATTTTATTTTTAATTGTCTTCCTGTTTAATTGTTTTGGATCTTTAATTATTGGCACGTTAAGTTTGGTGAATTGCCATTTAATTTCTAGTTAGTTAATTATTTTTATTTTCTTATTTGAATTTCTTCGATTGTCATCGTTTCTACAAAACTTCCCCCTTTGTTACTTTGGATTTCTTAAGAGACAAATATACCCAGTCCCTGTGGATACGACCCTACTTGCCTTGTCTACAAATTCATAATTAATTGTGAAAAATAACCATATCATTCGGGTATATCGGATCAAGCAAACTCTTCGGGAATAGGGTGAATCAAGTAACCCATTGCACACCTAGAGTTCTTGCTCCAGTACTTGGAATTGGGTTTTGGTCACTTTAACTGGCAATTAGGTTTCTTTTTATTATTGTACAGGCTTCGACACCCTGTCAAATAGCATTTTGGGTGGTGCATTTTTTTTTAATCTAGTATGATGGTTGTAATCATAAGCATTTCAATGAACCATCAAGGCAGAAAAATTAGCTCTTCAAGCTTTACGGAGAATGTTTCTTTCTTGCTTTTTTGCCTTTGTTGCCTTCTGCTAATTATAATCATTGGCAAGATCAACTTGTGAGGTGCTCTTTCTTTCCTTGCTCTATATTATATCTACGTTGGCTTCATTTTTGCATCAGAAATAGTTTTGCGAAAACTGAAAGTTGGTGGTTGCCATTGACCAGAAGCTTGGTGAGAAACGGCGGCTAAGAAGTATCAACACAACTTTAGACTTGTAGAATACTTATACTAAAAAAATATACTTTTCTACATAAATTGTTATTTTTATTACTTCAAAATTAGGCAGGGTATTTTACATTTCCGTCACGCAAAGCGCGTTTATGCTTGCTAGTTCTGTAAAACATGCATATGTGGAGCTATTGAGGAGTAAAGCTTCTACTATTGCATCTATTGCTTTCTCTCTTTTTTTTGGTTTATTTTGAAAAATCATTAATAATTTGAAAAGAAAAAAAATAAACTAATCTATGTTTGGCAAAGGAAGTAGAAACAAAAGAAGTTATGAGAAGCTCATTGTGATAATGGTGGTTCTGTAATTTATTTCGGATAATGATTTTTTTGGTCGATAATTTCTGGGTTTTGAATGAGGCTTTTTTGGAAGGAATGGATACACAATATGTTTTCTATCATAAGAAGAAGAAAAGAAAAAAAAAAAACACCTTCATGATTTATTGTGGATGGATGAAAATACCTTCTTGATTATTGTATATGAACCCCTTTCTTTTTGGACATGTCTAAACATAAAGAATAATTTAGAATAAGAATTTTCTAGATAATAAATAATTCAGTTGCATTAAAAATATAAAATTTCTTTCTTATTTCCCTGGATGTAACGAGAAATGCAAAGAATGCTTTAGTGCGGTTTGTTTATGATATCATCTTATCAAGAAGTTTTTAGAAAACAAGTAATTTTATTTATGTTAAAACAAATAATCATCTTAAAGATATTTTTGGAAAAGAAGTATTCAATTAACTATCATGCTTAGAGAATGATTTACCTATGTAGCAATATAAACATATTAGGCATCTGCTTCTTCCTTTTCACTAAGTCTGATAAAACTGAAGTCTGAAATTTGAAATCTGGAGTCTGAATATATTAAATTATTGAATTATTAAGTATTAAATTTAATACATTTGAGTGCATATTACATTCAGTGATAAGTGCATAATTTATTACTTAATTTTGGGAGCAAGTTTTGCCTAGATAATTCAGTGCAATTTAATCAATTCAAATGTTCAATTTTTCGTTATCAAACAATTTGAATATGTTAAGATATGAATACATTAAAATAAAAGCCAAACTGGGTTATGAAACAGGTCCAAATCTTTGTAATAGTTATAGAATGATTTATTCATATTAGTTTGAAATATCAAATCTATTTTCCCAAGCATGAAAGGATGCATAGTTTTTTTTTTTCTTTTTGGTGAAAGGATATATAGTTCCAATATCCAATTAAAAACTAAATAGTAAAGGAAGTCCACAAGTAACATTCTCATATATTAAAAAATGAGCAAGTGCTAAAATAAATAATTAATCATAATCAATTACCAATACTAGTGGAGGAAACAAGTGACAACAAGAAAAGAGAAATTACAGATAAAAAGATAAGAAAACTTGAAGGAAAAAGTGGTGTTAGAGGAGTAAGAAATGTGAGGAGGATATTTTGAAAGAGTAGTGAAATTCTATGCAACTTCGACAGTCCAAACTACATAAGATACCTTGAAAATATAAAAGAAGGCAGTTATTTAGATTGTTCATCCCTTTTATACCCTAAATCTTGCCTGTGGACTTACTTTTGCCTTTTAATTTATGACCATTATCTATCTGGTACAACTTTCAGTACAAAAGAGTTGTCCAAAATGCAATTTCAGACCACATTGTTACATTTTTATGGCATTAGGGATCTATTTTTCCACAACTGAGCGACTAAAAGAGGGGAAAAAAAAGTAATGGAATTTGAGGGCTCATTTGAGGATTTTTCGAGAGTGGTTGTTGCAGTGTTTAATTTGACAAATATATTTTACTTATATATTAGTTCGTCTAAAATTAACGAAACGGGGATGTAGCTCAGATGGTAGAGCGCTCGCTTAGCATGCGAGAGGTACGGGATCGATACCCCGCATCTCCAGTTTCTTTTAGCCTCTGCAGTCTGCACTTTTGGCCACGACCATACAACAAAATCTTCGACTCAGAATTTTGCCCAAAGACCGACAGCCACCTGAATCTAGACATACTTACACCGCAATACGACAGAGCACATGGGGATGTAGCTCAGATGGTAGAGCGCTCGCTTAGCATGCGAGAGGTACGGGGATCGATACCCCGCATCTCCAGTTTCCTTTTGGCCTCTGCACTTTTGGCCACAACCATACAACAAAATCTTCGACTCAGCATTTTGCCCAATGACCGACAGCCACGTCAATCCGGACACTCGCACACCGCAGTGCGACGAGGCACACTGCTCCAGACTACAACTCAGCAGATAAGGCCCAACCCTCGTATTATTATTTTTTTCAAATATCTTTTTCTGGTCAAATTCTGAATGGAAAGATTCTTGCCTTGATCTGAATCGAAGTTTTAGAAAGATCCCACGAGAGCATCAACAAGAGAAAGAGAGGAAAAGGAGAGAATTATGGGGAAGACGGTGAGGAAACTGCAAGTGGTGTCACCAGTGCCAGCAGATATTGATATAGCTAACTCTGTTGAACCTCTGCACATATCTGAGATTGCCAACGAACTCAATCTTAGTCCCAGCATTATGATCCTTATGGCAAATACAAGGCCAAGGTAATGACCGGTTACTGGATGTAAATGTGCTTTTTTCTTTGATTCGCGTTTGTCTTGCTTATGGACTTTTTCTTGATTGGTTCTTGGAACTTTAATGTGTTTTGTTTTCTGGGTTCTGCAGTAAAGGTAATCTAGGTGAGCATAACTTGTTAAAGTTTGTGCTTTTGTGTGTGTCCATGTATTCATGTCCTTGTAATTCTTGCAGTTTAAACGTTCAGTTTTATGTGCCTTATCTAATATTACAAGTATTTATCTTTCTTGCACAAGGGGTGTTTTTTGTTGTTTTATTTTTCATGCTTGATTGGTTTTTGGTTTTTCGTACTTTAATCAGTTGTTGTCTCTAGGTTCTGAATTAAGAGTGATTTAGACTATCATATCATAATCAAGGTAATGTATTTGTAAGTATACGTTTTATGTTCCTGTTAAAATCTTGCAAGTACTATATTTCCTGCAAAAAGATTGAGTTTCTTCGTTCATGGTTGATCACAAGGTGTCCTTCGATTGGTTGAATAATTCTTTGTGTTGCTTATGGTATAATTGAGGGCTGCGTGATGGTAGAAAATGTCATTGTAGGTTTTATTATCAGTGCTTGATGAGTTACAAGGAAGTGAAGATGGTTACTATGTGGTTGTTGGAGGAATTACTCCAACTCCTCTTGGAGAAGGCAAATCCACCACTACTGTTGGCCTCTGCCAGGCATTGGGAGCATTTCTTGATAAAAAGGTAAAAATGAACTTTAATTGTCAAATTAGGTACTACATTTGATTTTGGCTGATGAATTGAGTCTCAAATAAGGAGGAACCTATATTTATCTATTGTGCTTGTATGTCTTTGGGCATCATTTTTCCATGGACACCCCATTGTTGTAACATGAATGAGTTTGGATAATATGGGCAAAACAGTATAGTGTGGAAAGTTTGCAATTATTTTATACCTCTGTATGTTTACTTTGTTGCATCTTATCTGGTGCTCTTAGGTTGTCACATGCCTTCGTCAACCATCTCAAGGGCCAACATTTGGAATTAAAGGTGGTGCTGCTGGTGGCGGCTACAGCCAAGTGATTCCCATGGATGAGTTCAATCTTCACTTAACTGGGACATCCATGCAATAACAGCTGCAAACAACCTTCTTGCTGCTGCAATTGATACAAGAATCTTTCATGAATCTACTCAAACCGATAAGGGTCTTTTCAACCGGTTATGTCCTCCTGACAAGGAAGGAAAGAGGAGCTTCAGTAACATTATGTTTAGGCGTTTGACGAAACTTGGTATTTCCAAGGCAAGACCAGAGGAACTTACTCCACAAGAGATTAAGAAATTTGCTAGGCTTGATTTTGATCCTAGTTCTATCACATGGAGAAGAGTAATGGATATTAATGACCGTTTTTTAAGGAAGATAACTGTTGGTCAGGGCCCTGAAGAGAAAGGGATGGTGAGAGAAACTGGATTTGATATTTCAGTTGCTAGTGAAATAATGGCAGTCCTAGCTCTAACGACTTCATTAGCTGACATGAGAGAGAGGCTTGGGAAAATGGTTGTCGGAAATAGCAAGGCTGGTGATCCCATTACAGCTGATGATCTGGGTGTTGGGGGTGCTTTGACTGTGTTAATGAAAGATGCCATCAATCCTACACTAATGCAGACTCTTGAGGGCACCCCTGTCCTTGTTCATGCTGGCCCTTTTGCAAATATTGCTCATGGAAACTCGTCCATTGTTGCTGATAAGATTGCATTGAAGCTGGTGGGACGTGGAGGATTTGTAGTCACAGAAGCTGGTTTTGGGGCTGATATTGGAACTGAAAAGTTCATGAACATAAAATGTAGATACAGTGGATTAACACCTCAATGTGCTGTCATTGTGGCAACAATTAGGGCCCTCAAGATGCATGGTGGAGGGCCAGAAGTTGTAGCTGGGAAACCTCTTGATCATGCTTATCTGACAGAGAACGTGGCACTTGTTGAAGCTGGCTGTGTGAATCTTGCCAGGCATATTTCAAATACAAAGGCCTATGGTGTAAATGTTGTAGTTGCCGTGAACAAGTTCGCAACTGATTCTGAAGTTGAACTAAATGCTGTAAAGGCTGCAGCACTTTCAGCAGGGGCATTTGATGCTGTAATCTGTACTCATCATGCTCATGGTGGGAAAGGAGCGGTTAGTCAATTAACGTTATTTGTGACACGTGCATATTGTTTGTTTATGCTGTCATCTGCTTCATTCAGTAAATTTTCTGATGGGGGAAATACCAAGAGCTAACAGTCTAATCCTCGCAAATACCCTTTTAAGATAGAGGAGAAATTAAAACAAAACCAGAAGACAGTAAACTTCATAAAATTCATAACTGAACTTCACCTACGAACTGTTGAATTCTAATTAATGCTTGTAGAATCCCTAGTAAATTTTGATCACAAACAGTTCACTGATTGTTCCAGAGATTTTACCTTGTTATCAGTCACTTTTCTATCTCAGTATGCTTCTATTATTTACTTTTTCTTACCCACGTTGACATGAACACGTATATTTCGCTATTAATTGGTAACTTTACTGTTCAACACCGAGGGACCTGAAATTTGATGAGTGATTGTTTCTTCACCTTATCTCTTTCTAACTACCTTCTGTTATGTCTGGACACTTGTATATTGCAAGATATGAAGTAAGGAGGTAGTCTTATCGGCAATATTTCTTTGTGTATAAATGCTGATGGTTCTCAATCGATATTCCCTTTTTTTTTGTATTGTTTTGCAGGAACTGCCTGTAAGATTGTGTATACACATGGGTTCATGGAATGTGGTTTAAGAAATATAAGTAGAGGAAAGAAGGAAAATGGAGACTGTTTTGAAGGAAAATAATCTAACAGGCTATTCTACTTCGCTTCCATGTATATATACAAGGATCTGATAGCACACTATATACTTTTACTGTGGAGCCTTGAACCACCAGAACTGAAAGATAAATACTGTTAATGGTCCAATGATGATCATAATTGGACAAAGCTTTCATTAGTAGCTGATCAAATAATTTGACTGTTTCTTGCTTTTATCAATAAGTCTCTAGTTCTGGTGGCTTTTAGTATTTGATTAGCAGAACTAGCAACTGGGTCATTGTAATAAGTTTATCAGTGATTGCAGTGTTCTATTCTAGCTGCATGTCTATACTGCTTAAATGCTGGTTGGCATCATATTTGGAGCCTGTGTATCCAGTCATTGGAACAAGCACTTGCCTAACCCTTAAATAGGTTGTTTCCCTGGTGTCAAGAAAAAGACAGTGTTCTGGAAGAGGATATGCGATGTTTCCCATGTTGGAAACCAATCATGTAACCATTCTTCCTGACAAACTTAATTTCACTTATTTAACAAAAAAATCACATAGAAGAATATAGTCATTTATGCATCACAAGAGTTACTAGAGGAGGTGAAGTAACCAAGGCAAAGTGATTCTGGGGTGTCATAATTCAGTATCACCACTATGGATAGCTAAAACAAGGATTACTTTCTTCTAAAGGCTTGTTTTTGTTGTCTACACTTTTTCAAGAAATACAAGGGCAAGTTCTCAATGCACTTATTTACCTCTCTGAGACCCTTTAACTGGCCCCTTGGGAATTTGAAAGAGGCCTAATATACCATGTTACTCTGGAAGCAAGTATAATTCTGCAAAATTATACTCTATAGTTTGTATCTGTCCACAATACTTAGGAATGAAGCAAAAGCTGTGCAATATTTCTGGTAGTTTTATCCCTTAATTGGTTGGAGATAAGGTAAACTATGTGTCACCAAATGCTACTGTGGTTCATAGCAATCGTGCTATTTTCTGTCTGAATGTGTCGTGAAAGGTTACACTTATCAGTTTTAAATTCTATTTGAAATGTTGCTTTATTTGGGATGAGTTCATCTTGATCCTATCTCCAGGTCAACCCACAAAACTGTGGTTTAGGATAATTACTTTATGACCTGGAGTCTTATGCTATCCGCTGCTCCAGTGTTCATTTTTTTTGATTGGAAGATAAGGGTAGGCTATCTTTTAGAGGATTTACAACCCTTTAATTTTTTCCCCTCTGGGTCCTATGGAATGTCCATTAAGCTTGCTTGCTATCTGCAAACATCTGTCTTCTTGCTGGGCATGCTGTAAGCTTTTCTTGGAGTATCAGCTCCATTTGCCCAGTTGGTTCCTTCAGATGAATCCCAAAATCAATGATCATGGCCAAGGAATTGAATGTCCAATAAAGTTGAGAAAAAGCATCCTCATGTAACATGATTTGAGTTAGCTTTAGAGACAAAATAGTATTGGTGTTTTATTTCCAGTTTCCCTATCCTTCACATAAAACCATAACCTTCATTCCTGATAATCCTCATCCTAGGTGAATGATCTGAATCTTTCTGCTGCTACATCTGTTTTTTCAAGCATAGCATCTGGTAGGAGCGAATTAAAATTTTGGCAAAGATGGCGCATATAAATGATCAAAGTGTGTTGCTATTTTATCCTTTGGGTAAAATATCTTCATTTTGCTTCAAAAGGCAGGGCAAAGAAAGTTTTTAATGGGGTAGGCATGTGGTAGTGCATTATTAGCCTTTCCTTTTCTTGGTGTATGATGTCATCTATCTGTATCTGAAGCTTTGAGATTGTTAAAAAAATTGATTATCAGTATTAAAGATATATGATCTTCTGTTTTTTTTTTCCTTCTTCTGATTTCTCAGGTAGACCTGGGGGTTGCAGTTCAAAGAGCTTGCGAGAATATTGCACAACCATTGAAATTCTTGTACCCTCTGGATATGAGCATCAAAGAAAAAATAGAAGCCATAGCAAAGTCTTATGGTGCTAGCGGTGTAGAATACTCAGAAGAGGTATACTCTGCTTTAACATTCATTATTTGGAGTTCTTCCACTTTCTTTTTATTTTTTATTTTGCAATCTCTAACAAATTAATGTTGAAATAATTTTCTTTGACATCTTCATCACCTATTCCCAACATGCCTTGGTGGAACCAGGCTCTTGATGCAAATGAAGCAGAAATTTCATGTTATTAATAACATATTTTTGCCATAAAAACTTTGATTTTTAAGAAATTGGAGGTTGACTTCGCTATATGCTTTAAAGTTCCAATCTGTGAAAGAAGTGTTGGAGCTAATGGCCTATCAGCTGTAGCGTTAATACCACATTGAAATAGTGGGAGAGAAGTTCTTACTAATTTTGCCAACTTCCTCTATTGTTCTCAATTCCTCTTTCATTTTCATGAACATTGTGGCTTCTTTGGAATACTTCCTCTTTGAGCCTAGACCTTGTTGTTGCTTTTTGAAACTCTTTATATTATGCTCTGTTTCCTTGAGCCTAGACCTTCTTCTTGTTTTCTGAATTCGTTATCCTACTCTCTGTTTGCTAGAGTCTAGACCTTTTTATTGTTCTTAAATTACAAGGCTGCTTAACTGAATTGAGAATGATAAAAGTAGAGCAGCTTATTCTCCTTTCAGACTAACTACCTACTGTTCTCTTACACTATAATCATTAACTGTATTATATATATATATATATATATATATATATATATATATATATATATATATAAGTAGAGCAACATATTATCTTTTCAGACTAACTACCACAAGTTCTCTTACACTATAATTGTTAACTGTATATACACACAAACAAACCACGCATACATTTTTAGTTTTTCAAGTTCTTGAGTAATATGATAATTTTGGGTTTCTTCCATTATAAACATTTTTTTTGGTTGTTAGGCTGAGAAACAAATTGGGATGTACACCAAGCAAGGATTTGGCAGTTTACCAATCTGCATGGCAAAAACACAATATTCATTTTCACACAATGCTGCAGCAAAGGGAGCTCCAAGTGGATTTGTCTTACCAATCAGAGATGTAAGGGCAAGCATTGGAGCTGGATTCATTTATCCTTTAGTTGGGACAATGAGTACAATGCCTGGCCTTCCCACAAGGCCTTGCTTCTATGATATTGATCTTGACACCACCACAGGAAGGGTTATTGGTCTTTCTTGAGAATTAGTCATCAACCTCAAACTGGGAACCTGTAGAGGCCAATCAAATGATTCAGGGCAGAATGCGAACTCAACTGGAGTACATAATTTTTATGTGCATGGTATGGTTTCATTCTCATGTTGTATCCTGTATAACCTCAATCGAAAATAAAGAACTTTGTTTTCTTTTGCTGACATTTCTTGGAAAATTTTCAATTTGAGTTGGATGTGCTGTGCTCTATCCCATGAATTATCATGCTTGTTGGGTGGTACCCCAAGAGTGTCCTGAGGACTGCTATATGCGCTTTATAGTTCTGAATAATATTCCACAAGAATTTTCAAGGAGAAAGAGTAACATGATAAATAGCCTTAGTAATCTATATTAGGGTGGAAGCCCTGATGCAGTACCAGGTTCTGACTTCTAAAGTTGTAAGGGAGTGTATTGATTGTGTTTTGGTTTATCTTGCATGATTCGATCAATGTTTCAGCTGGAAAGGTAAGTCTTGCATACCACAGTTATGTAATAGTGGTTTTAGTCCCCAAAAGAGAAAGCTAAAAGTGACTTTATTTGTTTCACGCTGTTATAAATCATCTCTTCAGCAAGTATTCTTGGTACTAATCAGCTTCTTTCTGCATCTTTTCCATCTGTGGATGTTTTAAATTGTCCAATCAATTTTGTAAGCATTGTCATTCAATCTTATTGGCAATTGAATGGTTTTATATATTTAAGTTTATATTACTGGTGATAATTGTTTATCAACAAGAACATATGATCTTCTTGTGGCAGATATCATAATACTGATTACCTTGGATTACTTCAATACTTGATTCTACATTTAGTAGATCAAGGCATTGTGATACATAGAGCATTAGCAATCATAGGAACCACTTTTACCATACCATCATTATTGAATGAAGACAATGGACGAAGTTGGCACAATGCAAAGATCTAGACTGGGGAGGAAAGAGGGCAAGAGCCGATTGTCCCAATAAGTAGGGGCAGTAAATGCCCGAAAGACATCATAAATCACAACCGTAGAACATTAGTTTACAGTATTAAAGAGTGACTGAAATGTTACAAAGCAAGAGTTTCGATTAACAGGCTGCTTTACTACTTAAAATCTGAGTAAATTTTTGCTAGTTCTTGATACTATTGGGTTACAAACAAGCAAATCTACGAGTTAACAACTCTGCAGTTCTTCCGGATCTGTCCGCTTGAACCAGTCAATGGGCTTATGTTGCCCATCTTGATCATGGAATTCACGAAGTCATTGAAGAAAAGTACAGAATTTTTGCTATAATTTTCAACAATACTTCTTGTGGTCGATGCTGCTGCATCACTAGAATATAGGATTTGGTCAGATTGAAGAAGTCCCTTGCCACTGAGCAAGTTTTGAAAGTAATGGTTGTCAAACAAATCCCTGGAATTCCTATCTAGTGGGGCTGTGTTGTTTCCATCGCTAGTTTGAGAACAAAGGCTTTGCAGATCAGACACCATGCTGGTGTCCATTGTACTATCTGGAGCACCAGTGCCGGAGGAGTTGAACAACCTTGAGCTGAACACGGTGCACTTTGCTAAGCCAATGGTATGTGCACCTGCATTTCCATGCCAAAACGGAAAATGTCCTAGGTTAGGAGAAATATTGATGTCATAGTTCATATCAGATATGCAGAGTTGCAGATTTAAAGGCAAAGGGCATTTTTATTGAGTCTTGTATGAGAGTTTGATTCTTGCCATCCCTATTCCCCTCCCAGATCCCTCCTTTACCGCAGCCCATCCTTCTAAAGAATCCCAGAAACAAATTAGAATCCATAAATACAAGAAATTTTGAACAAGTTCAGACTCAAGTATACTTACCAGATAAGGCAACAACATCTGTCACGTCAAGGCCTACAGCAGCAAACTTGGCAATGATTGTATTTACTGAATCAAAAGGACCAGGAAGTACTGATGCATTGGCTGCTGTCTGATTTGCAACTAATCCATCCCTCCTACCAAGTAAAACTCTCCATGCAGGTCCTCCACTCTGCATAAATATGTGGAAACATTAGACTTCTTAGGAACTTCTATCAAGAGGTATAGATTCAACTCCAATCAACGAAGCTTTTGAACCATTAGATACCAATATGGCCAACTAAAACACTGCTGATGGTTTGTTTTATAGAGGAGCTTTAAGGTTACCAAAAGAACTGAATCTCTGGCAGCTATAGCTAGTATATCAGCACATGATACAACTCCAGCACATGCACTTTCCACAGCATTCTTTATCGTATCTACTACTTCAAATCCTCTTGCAGAGTTCAAGTTAGGCACTGCAAGCTTCTCACTATTACTTCCATCCAACAGCAACGATGCATCGCAGCCCTAGACAAAACCATGCAATTAAAAAAACAAGTTTAGAATTCTTTCTACGGAGTCGTCTAAACGAGTAAATGTGCGTACTGAAATTATTGCACTCACATTTACAAAACAATCGTGGAAATGCAGCCTAAGCAAAGAAGCAGCCATTCTGATTTCGTTCATGATTGCTTTTTGGACCTCTGTACGGACGATTTTCAAAAGATTTGGGCATGTTGATGAATAAAAATCAATGCTTAGTTGAGACCTTGCAACTGAAAACAACATCAACGATGTTAAAAGCCAAAAACAGCACGAAAGTTTGCATGAAACCTTCATGGTTCTTTTGAGAGAATTCGATCAGCTTTTAAACAATATTATGCGAGTTGAAAACCTTAGATTCTTGGTGGTTTATGACTAAGATGTGATCGATGAGCATGCTTGAGGTTAATTTATACCCAAGATTAAGGGCTGTAATCGGTGAATTTGACTTAATAAAGTGAGTTAACTAAGCTTAGTGCTCTGGTGTATGGCGGCTCCAATTTCAGAGTTTGTTCCTTCCACTATAAAAACAAACTCAGAGATTTGTGGAAAGTGGAAGAAACCAGAAGGTTTACTCTATCCTTCTCTCCACATGATGAAGGCATTAGTGGATTAATTGTTATCAGATTACATAAAATATGCGCTTGCTTTTCAATTCATGAATATAGTAACACAGATTCATCCTCTATGCAGATCATTTTGGCTTCCACTTCAGTTCACGAAAGAGTTGAGTGGACTAATTACCTTTTTCATCTTCACAAAGTGAAAATGTCAACGGAATATTTTTATCTACAGCGTCCACTCATTGAACTTGTGACATTCTACTGCTGAAAGATATTATTGTTATTAATCCAGTTGAACTTCAATGAAAGAAAAGCTAGCTAATCAAGTTTAGGCAAGATAAGTTTGCTTTATTTTGTGGAAACAAGCTGTTAGAAATAACTATTTATTCACGTAACAATCTTTTTTTTTTATTTTTTTAAGAACTAAGTGAAATTAAAGTATCAATTGCTAATATAAATGGGAAAATTAACAAGAATAATAACTAATGAAATTTTCATGAAGATCATACCAAATGAACTTAGGCCTTTGTTTCTTCCATTTCTCTTATTCCCTTGCAACCAAGCTAGTAACACGAATGGTCATGTACTAAGTCCTAAGTATAATGCAAACTAATTTAATTTGACAAAAGTGGCAGGAGAATTGTTGCATTTTGAGGTTGCCGAAAACACCAAAAATCAAGAGAAAGGCAAAAAGTGAAAAAGTTATCTTTTAGAGATAGATTTTTCGATTTTTCATTCCAATTATTTAGATTCAGCATTTTGTGCAGGAGACATATAGAGCAAGAGTCATACAATTGGTAACGCTTAAACTTGGATTTTTTTTTTCTGATACTCACATTCTTGGCTTTTGCCAATTTTGATTCAATCTTCATATTTGCATCCTTTCAAATGTTACTGAAGTGCCATGCTTAGGTATACAAATTTGTTGAGTGGAATATTCCCCTCATCAAGTTAAGCTCAATTTAAGTTTTCTAAACTTGAATTTGAACTCGAGATTAATTGAGTACCTCTTGTTACAATTTTCAAGCTAACTCAATTTTGATCTGAAAAAGCTCAAGACGGTAATGGATCTGAACTTTGAGTTACTAAAAGGAGTAAATGTGGCTCAATTTCATGACAAGCTAGTATGGTAATTTTCTAGCTTCAAACATGTTAGGTTCATGAGTAAAAAGTCATATCTCACATTGGTCTGAGAGATGAAGAAAGAGCAATTAATATGTAAGGGTCCAAGATCTAATGACTTAAGTTTTTGGGTCAGAGTTGGATTTCTGACTTAAGTTTCATGAGTAAAAAGTCATGTCCCACATTGGTCTGAGAGATGGAGAAAGAGCGATTAATATGTAAGAGTCCAAGACCTAATGACTTTTAAGTTTTTGGGTCACAGTTAGGTTTTTGACTTACGTATTGGGCTCTTTAATTGATTCTCTCGAAATGTTTCCCTCCATTGAATTGGTATCAGAGTTTCAGGTTACAAGACTAGCCTACTCATGGGCAAGTGGATTCTTCTCGGAGTTGGACCGGTAAAAATTCTCTTCTTGGTAGTAGCCCGAAGTGCTAAGGAAATTGGCTAGTGTTGGACCAGGTGCGCCATAGGTTTGGCAAGGGGTCCGATTGGTGTTAGATCAAGGAGCCGAGGGTTAGCAGGGGTCTAGAATGCAATTTGGATGTTGAAGAAGAGTGGGTCTATATTTGGGAAAAGAGGTGACCTAGGTGATAAAAATGAGTTTGCATTAAGTGTTAAAGTGGGTTCGAAGAAGGGCCTACAAATTTGGATTTAATGTGGGGGTTACTCATGCAAGGGGAGATTTGTTAGGTACAAGAGTAAAAAGTCATATCTTACATTGGTTCGAGAGATGGAGAAAACACGGTTAATATGTAAGTAAGGGTCCAATACCTAATAACTTAAGCTTTTAGGTCAGAGTTGGATTCTTGACTTGCATATTGGACTCTTTAGCTAACTCTCTCGAAGTGTTTCCCCTATCAAATAATTTGTTAGAAAATTGGTTTAATTTCTTTTAGGTAGATTTCTTGTTTTGTGTGGAAGTAACTAATTTTCTAATTGATTTTAGTTATTTGAAATAGTAGTCAAGAAATTTCCTATTTTGTTTAGAATTAGAAGTTATTTCCTATTCTGTACAAGTTTAGGAATTATAATTGATTTGTTGTTGTTATTTGGGTTTTTGGCTAAATAATGTTTTTTATAAATAGGTGGTTGGTATACTACACACAAGAACACACAAGGAGCACAAAAGGGCAATATGTAGTCTTATACATGGGGGTGAGAGAGAGTTCTTGGGAGATGAGAAATGGTATACAAGGGTTGGGTTTGGGTTCAAGTTATATTCTTGTATAGGGTTTTTCTCTCATAATAAAAAACAGGTTTCTCTCCGTGGACGTAG